CTTATAACACAATCGTATTTAAAATTATTTGATTTTGTCTTGGTTAAATTTTTAATAATTTTTTTTACTGGCATGCACATATCATGGATTAGCAATATGTCTCCATGAGAAGTAAGTTGGAAGTCATCTGCATTCACACTTGATCTTCAACAAGGGATGGCCGTACATTTCATGGTGAAGCATGCTGATGAACAACACACACTTTGATGCATCTACTGGGTAATCGGAGGGTTGTGCCTGACTATAACCATTTGCTAACTTTATCATCCTTTCAAGGCAATAGCAGATTATTCGTGAAGCTTGATTTACTCCAAGCGAGACATCACAAAATTTTTTGTGATGTTCTCAAGAGAGTATGTCATCCTTCGTCGAAGGATGAGTTGGATGATACTAAATATTTGTGAATGTAGTACAGGGTGTGTTAAAGTCCTAAAATTTGAAAATTGTTGATAGAAAATTGTTCATTGAGTGTGGTTTATTTTCCCAAAAATTGTACCAAGCTCTAGCTTGCAAGAAATCTAGTTGATAAATTGAGGATCAATCTTTATCGTATTAGCCTTTTCCATACACTAAAAAGTGGGATACAAGATTTTTTGTGGAAAATCTAAGGAAAAAATTATGGAGCTTAGCATAGGTTAATAGCTTTCATTATTAGGAAAATAGTCACAAGGTATTGCATTTAACTTTAATTGAAGAAGGCATTGATACAAACAAAGAGAATGGATTTTCATTTTTCTTAGCAGTTACAATGGTTGGCAAACCCAGAGGTAGTGGCATTAGTTTCATTGGAGATAGTGGCAACATCGATCCTAAGGGAGAAGATTTTGGCACATGTATTTTGGAAAAGTATATGCGGTTTTAATGTGTTGGTTTGAGGAAGGAAACTACGATGTAGGTCTCAAGGGTGATGCTTGCGATGTGCACTAGACATGGTTTACCACAAGTCGTGCAAGATAGGAGTGATGGGGTTCTTAGAGGGACGATTATGGCTCATACCTTTTTAGACATGGTTTTCGAATAGGTCTTGCGGGGACGACTATGTAAAACCCTTCAAAAAGCTGTTTTTTTTAGTGCTGTTAGTCCCGTACGAACTTGTCTTAGTCCCGTACAAACTGAATAAATTGTGAAGAAATCTGTCATTTTCGTCTGTACGAACCTGGAACTGTCGGGACGAACTGTCTGTACGAACTGAAGAAATTGTGAAGAAATCTGCCATTTTCGTCTGTACGAACCTGGAAGAGTCGGGACGAACAGTCGGGACGAACCAAACCCGAGGGTTTTGTCCCGGGACGATGAAATTGGCATTTAATTTCGTTTGGACGATATGTGTATATGGGAGATCGTCCCGGGACGAACAGGACATCGTCCGGGACGATCCTGTGTATTAAATATCTGAATAGTGCCGATTTTGAAGAGAGAGAAAGCCCAGGAGAGAGAAAAACAAAGGAAAAAGAGGAAAAGTGAATTTTTGGGCGACTTCCGTCCGTTTTCGTCCGTCGCCGTAGTTGGGAAAGTTGACCGACTCGAGGAAAGACACATTCCGCCTTTTTCAATTTTCAGAAACGAGGATTTTGACGACTTTTCTGTTCTGAATTTCGTTTCCGTTAGCGAATTTCTGGTATTATTTTCTTCTGACAAAGGTTTTACCGCGTAACTTTTGGTATGTCTCTGAGATGATAATTGTGCACGTTTTGAGTATTTTCTAGAAGATTTTTACCGGATATTTTGAGTTCTGCGGTGTTTTAATTGAACTGCAAAGTATCAAAATGTTGAAAAATGTTTTGTCAGTACAATGAAAGTCTTACAATGTTGTTGTGAATGTTCTGTGGTAATTTAGTAAATTTCTGAATCTGTGATTTTTGTGTAAATTCTGTATACTGCCGTTATGCCGCTGAAATCTCGTATGAATTCTGATTTTTCTGAATTGATTCCTTGAATGAATTGAAGTGTTTGTGTGCTATCAAAAGGGAGTTATAAGGGGCTAGGATCCTTTGAGATTTTGTAAGTGTCAGGGAAATTTGATATGAGCTCTGAAATCTTAAAATGAGTTCTGTTTCGGAATTCCGCGAATATCTGTTATGTTCTGGTGCTATAAGCACAAAGGGAGATATAAGGGGCCAGAATCCGTTGGGATTCTGTAAGTGTCAGGGAAGGGAGACATAAGGGGCCAGAATCCGTCGAGACTCTGTAAGTGGCAGGGAAGGGAGACATAAGGGGTCAGAATCCGTAGAGATTCTGTAAGGGTCTGGGAATCTGAAATCTGTTATGTGACTTATATGATCTGTTTTATGAATTATCCGATATACAATTTCTGATTTCTGTATGATTCTGGTTGAATCTGATATGAACTATCTGATATGAATTATCTGATATGAATGTGATTTTATCTGAATTCTGATTTCGGTACGATTCTGGTTATTCCGTACGATTCTATCTGCTCTGTGACTTGAAAGCTTTATGATATCTGTTCTGAACTCCGATTCGACATGACTTCAGTTTTCTGTATTAGTTGTTGATTTATGATTGAACAAGTATCTGTTTCTTGATTTTCGTACGGCTATTTCTGATGTGAATTTCTGATGATTTGGATTGGTGAGTGATGTCTTGCTTAGCTGTTAGCTCATCCTTATTTTCTACGTGGTTTTTAGGTTCTGGGAAAGGGAAGGAGGTCTTGGACTAGTCGTTCTGAGTCTAATCTGTGATTAGGTATTTTGTACTTTTGATTTTTGTACAGTCATGGCTTATCTGTTATGTTCTGTTCTATTCTTTCTGTCTGTAAGCCATGTACTGTATCTGTATAAAATTATGGAGCTTAGCATAGTTTAATAGCTTTCATTATTAGGAAAATAGTCACAAGGTATTGCATTTAACTTTAATTGAAGAAGGCATTGATACAAACAAAGAGAATGGATTTTCATTTTTCTTAGCAGTTACAATGGTTGGCAAACCCAGAGGTAGTCGTGGCATTAGTTTCATTGGAGATAGCGGCAACATCGATCCTAAGGGAGAAGATTTTGGCACATGTATTTTGGAAAAGTATATGCCGTTTTAATGTGTTGGTTTGAGGAAGGAAACTACAATGTAGGTCTCAAGGGTGATGCTTGCGATGTGCACTAGACATGGTTTACCACAAGTCATGCAAGATAGGAGTGATGGGGTTCTTAGAGGGACAATTATGGCTCATACCTTTTTAGACATGGTTTTCGAATAGGTCTTGCGGGGACGACTATGACCTAAGTGAGGGTTGTAGTGCAAGTATTGCTTGGGATGATCATGACACAAGCAAATATTATGACGTAGGTCCTTCGGGTGTCGACTACATGGCAAGGAAAGTTTTGATGTTGATAGTGAGTGTCATCTTGTCTTTAGATATCAGTTGACACTTTTGAGGCCATTATAATTCAAAAATATTAGAAGAGGTGTGTCCCATGCAACTATTGTGGCGATAGGATAACCATGGTTGAAAAATGATTATTATCTATTTTTTAGGTGATGGTAGAGTGGTAGATAGTGAATAGCTATTTTTTTGTTGCAGTGCATTTGTAAATGTGGAGGAACGTTGGAAGAAAAATTATCTAGAGTTATTTAAGTATGTAGAAAGCATGGTAAATGAGCTAAAATGAGCATCCAATTGTAGTCTTACGAAGGATATTTTGTCATTTTTTTAAATGTTCCTTGTATTTATCAATAATGAATGATGCATGTTATGTCAATCCATAACCATGTTAGAATTGCACTATGCTGCCTCTGGCTGACCTAGTGGACCCACTAGGGTTTAGCCAGGCAATCGACAATGAGTCGAAGATGGTGGTATAATAGTGGTTGACACTACTGATGTTTTTGATCAATGATTTGAATACATTACATCGTAAAAGCTCAATGACTTGAGCACAGCAGTATTGACATATCAAAGTTTTGACTGTCGAATGTACAAGAGAATAGTTTTAAAACGGTGTTCATCTTAGATTTGGTTCAGGAAAATGGTGGCAAATTTTCCTTCATTTTTACCTAGATATGATATTCTTCTCAAGTATTTTGTCACTAACAATTTGCAAAGCAGAGGCCTTTGATGGTTTCAATGCAACAACCTGGTCTTTATGAACTTGTCTCTTGATCATGTTGAGCTTGCAGGTCTTTGGGTCTTCCCTTCTGAGTTAGATCAAGCACTTGTAGAGCATTTTTTTTAGTTTCCTCGAGATTTATGCGTCCTGTAAAAATTTTATCGATCAAATAAGGATTTTTGCAAACCCAACATGGACTATTGCTTTGATCTGAGAATACTAGCTCGAATATTTTTCTTTTAGCCGCCTTAATTTTACCAAATTTATCTATCAATTACCTGTGCTTTCTATAGATTTTTTTTTTCAGTCTTTTTGATGATAATATGTACGAGTTTTATCATCTCCAGGAAAAGCGCAGCAGCTATGAGCTTGTTGAGATCAGTACTGGGGGAAAGTTAAGTAGGCACAATCTTCATGTTCAGCAACTGGGCCCTGATACCACAACTGAACTTTCAGCATTTCACGTAGCTCAAGGCGATCAAATACAAGATCTTCATAGTAAGCTAGTCCTGGATCACCCAAGAGGATATTCTCGTCAGCTTCATAAGTGCATAGTTTCTCACTCCACGGGGCATGTTGTTTTTGATGGAAACATAAAGGTTAACAGGTGCTCACTTCACCTTATTTTGATTTCAACAAGTATTATCTATTAAATAGTTATTTCAGATCCAAAGTCTTTTATGCTTTGATATTTGAGATGATTAGTTCATAAATGATTTACTGCATTTTTTTTTCAAATGTAGTGTAATTTTAGTAGTAATAGACCTCGTGAGGGGATTGTGACTTTGGGCGACCAAGTCATTAATAAGAGTACATGTTTTAGATATCTTGAATATATTGTTCAGAGTGATGGTAAAATAGATGGGGATATTATCAGTAGAATTCAAATTGGATGGTTGAAGTGGAGGAATGCATCGGGCTTGTTGTGTGCTAGAAAAGTACCCCTCAAACTCAAGGGAAAATTCTATAAGATGGTGGTGAGGCCTGCAATGCTTTATGGTGCCGAATGTTGGCCATTAAAAGAGAAGAATAACACTAAGTTGAGTGTGGCAGAGATGAGGATGCTCAGGTGGATGAGTGGCTTTACCCTTAGAGATAGGATACGAAATGAGCACATACGTGAAAAGGTTGGAATAGCTCTAATAGAATATAAGATTAGAGAGAGTCGCCTTAGATGGTTTGGTCACATAAAACGGCGGCCTTCCGATGATCCGATTAGGAGAGTAGAGGTATTAGATTTGACTTATGTTAAGAAAGATAGAGACAGACCTAAAAAGATTTGGTTAGAAAATATTAGGAATGACCTTTCTTTATTAGATTTAAATGAGAATTTGACTTTTAATAGGACACAATGGAGAAAAAGGATTCATATAGCCGACCCCAAGTAGTGGGATAAAGGCTTGATGTTGATTTTTGTTGATTGGGACCAAATATTTGTTGAGAATTAAACTCGCCTATTTTATTGAACAGATTTGCACAACAAACTGATGCAGGGCAGCTCACGAGAACTCTGCTCTTGGCGCCTCGTGCAACGGCCAATGTAAAGCCCAATTTACAGATAATTGCAGATGATGTAAAATGCTCGCATGGTGCCGCCATTAGCGACCTTGAGGAAGAGCAGCTCTTCTATTTCCAAGCAAGAGGAATTGACATGAAAACAGCAAGGGATGCTCTTGTCTTCTCGTTTGGCTCTGAGATATTGGCGCGCATTCCTTTCGAGTCTTACAGGAAGAGCATAAGCAATCAAGTTAAAGAATTGTTGACAAGAAGTTAGCAAAGAGGTTAGTTCATACCAATTGACCTTGATGGTTTTTACTATTGTAACTTGTAAAATTCTATCCGTTCCTTTTTGTTTAATACATCTAAGTTAAAAATAAAGGTCTGAAACTGGTAATTTATTTGGCCTCAGAGCTAAAGCTCGATTCTTACAATCTTGGTTAAAAGTCCTGGATTAGAAGGGTTTGGATACTTATAGTTTGGGTTTTTCTAGTTCAATTTGATTTTACATAATTGAGAATTAAAATGAGATTTTAATTATCGTAAACTAACTTAAAAGTAAATCGTTGAAGATATGTTTGTTCATATTCGTTTGAGTAATATTCATCTAAGTGAATAAAGTAAATAGTGATTATTGGATTAGAATAAAGACAAGTTTGTACAGTTGAGATGATAGGGCTGGCATAAAGTTTCCCAAGTATATGAGCCATTTGTCTTAAGTCATTCGATGTCATATAACTCCTGAACAAAAGAAAATTATCAAAATGGTTCATTGACTCTTTATGAAAGGTTAAAATGATCTTCAATTATTTTGATTTTTCTTTAAAGATTTGAGGGATCAAAATAGTCCTTTAATATAGTTAGGGATCATTTTCGTGTTTCATAAGGAGTCAATGGATCATTTTGGTCATGTTCTCTCTTGAATAAGGATATGATACGAATTGAGCATATACATGAAAAGGTTGGAGTAGGTACAATGGAAGATTAGATTAGAGGGAGTCTGTCTTATATGGTTTGGTCACATAAAATGGCAGCCTTCTGATAACCCAGTTAGGAAAGTAGATGTATTAGATTTGACTTATGTTAAGAAAGATAGAGGTAGATCTAAAATGGAGAAAAATGATTCATGTGGCCGACCCCATATGGTGGGACAAAGGCTTGATGTTGTTGTTGTTGTCGTCTCTCTTGAATACGGTTGAGAAAATAGAAACGTCCGGAATCATCCTTCACAGATAAACCATGGACAACAAGGCATTAAGAGTCATCTAACTAGTTCATTTAGACAATGATAAAAGGCTTGAGAATGATATCAATAAAAAAAAAAAAGACAAATTGTGTGGATGATCCCTATAAGTCCACAGTACTCTGCATGCTCATTCAGTGGATCGGTATTTAGATAGAAGTAAAGCTTGTCCAACAATACTTGAGAAACAATCAACTAGCAATGCTCGTTCACTGTATTCAGCAACAAAATCCTATAATTATTAATTAACCAACAAAAGGCCATTTGATCCTCGTGATGTTCCTGCTCATATGTAGCATCAATCTTGCAAAATCTTTTGCCTTCCTTTCTCCTACTCCGAATTTGTATACTTTCTACTTATTGGATCGGTTTTTTTTTTGGCTTTGTTTGGGACGACTTTTTATTACATTTTAAAGCAGCTTTTTCATAAAAAATCAAAAATTTTTGTACTAAAAAACTGCTTTAAGAAGCAGTAAAACATCCATCTAAAATGAAGCTTTTGTGTAAGGTCTGGCCGGATTTCTCTAGTGATTCACTGTAGAGAGAGACAGTTGTAATCCACTCCTCCTAATTGAAGAAGCCCTTGACCTTGGCTAGTAGGATTAAGCTAATTTAAAATGAATAATTTTAGATCAAGAGGCTTCAAAAATAACACAATATGAGTGGCCTTCTATCAGAATCTTGAATCAGAATGGGACTTGATATGTCAATTAGAAAATTCATACAAGAAAAGGGTGATTTGCATACATACCATTATATTTCATGCTATTTACATAACTAATCCCTAAAACTTTAATATGACATTCTTATCATTCATATGAAATTTTAATATCAAATATAACACTCCTATATTTCAGTCTTATCACTCATGCCATCCTATAAATTTTAATATTTCATTCGATGCACTCATATTTATTCTATGAGTGGTAGGCATATAGTATTAAAGTTTATGGTGTTAGATATATAAATAGTATGAAGTAAGGTGGAATGTATGTAAATCCCCTTAAGAAAGGGGTATTGATTTAGGATATTCTGGTCAAATTTTTATAGGTATGAGTTTAAAATTTTGATGGGTATCAATTTTTCTATTACATTTATTTTGTTAATTATTGTATTTTATTATTTTATCATACCTCGTAATAATATTCTTTATTTTTAATTTATTTGAGAAATTGAACTCACAATTTTTTTTATAATTTTTTTTTAAAATTCTTGTGTCATATTTTTATGCCAAAATCCCATCATATACTCTCAAACAAATTTTTTTTTTTTTTAATGATTAAGCACTAATGTTGGCATGTTGCAATTATTTGAATTAAAAACTTTCAAAATCAACTAAACTCCAAGTTTAGTAAACTTATAATTAAAATGGATGTTTTAATGAGATAAGCCCATCAACATCGAAGGTGTTCTAATGAGCGTTCAAATTAAACACTTGAAGCATTGTTGGAAACTTTATATCATAAATGGAGAGGTTACGTGATTTTTATATACTGTGTACTTACAATCAAAATGAGTGTCTTCATAAGCTCAAGATTATCAATTCTGATGTTATTAAAGCACAAGCCAAAATAGTGATTTATAATTGAAGTAATCAACACAAGTCGATCAATGGGGTGTGTGTTGAGATTTGGCTAAAATTACTCAAATCATAGTTCATAAAATTATATATAGACCCACATTCTTCGCATAAAAGGAGCTTCAAATTGAAGGGAGCTTGGGGATTTGAAAAACTTTAAATATACGACGCTAACATTCACTACCAACTATCGTCATCACGTGATGATTGTCGCCTAACAAACATCACCTGATTGTCATCATCCAAGCGTCATCGTCCTAAAACAATCACACAATCATCATCTCGCGATTGTCTTCGTCAATTACCTTCAAATAATTATCATAGCACAACATTGTCAATCAGCCACTGCTGCTTTATTATCATCACTCGACTATTATTGCACGACAATCATCTATTGACTACTTTCATTTTCTTTTACTATTTTTCTAACATCCTCTACTAAATAATTTTTTCACTTTTTAGATTTTTCACACGAAAAATTTAATGTTTTTCTTATAAATTTTATTTATTTATATATGAATGCAAAATCTTGACACAACAAATCTGAATAAAAAACTTTGTACAAATTTATGATTTGGAACCCACTAAAGTAAAAAAATCGTATCTTAGCTTTAGGTTGTTTTTCCGGGTTTGTGCGACTTTGTAGCCGCCCATAGTTTTGCAGACGATTCTGGATTTATCCGTTAAGCACTTGTCCTACTCAGTGTTCTTATCTCCTTCGTCTCCATCAATGATTACAAACACGCAGGCCGTTCATTGATTTGAACTTGGCTGAACATGACGTGGACGGAAATCTACTTTCATATATATAAGATTCTAGCTGTAAGATCTCATTTTTATTTTTATTTTTAAAAAAAATATCATTTTGAAAAAAATTAATCTGTGCGGAATTCGGACGTCATTCCGAGACAAATCAGGGCGCGTCACATTACTTTTTTATTGTGTACATATATTGTGTATTGGGTGACGTGATTTGCCTCCGATCGGTCTGGACAGAATAACTTCTCCATATTTTGATTATTGATATTCATTTCATCTTTTTTTTTTAATTACTCTGATTTTAAATGAATTGAATTCAATATAACTCTAGCGCAGCTGTAGTGAATATGTTAGTTTGTGTAGAATATGAGTGTATCGATCAATCTGGTTGTATTATTATCATGGATCTCAAATCAATTTGTCGTGTTCGCAGGGGGTGTGGGATAGGGATGTCAATATTTGACACGACACGAAAATTCGACCCAAACCAAAAAATTTGGTTTTGACCCGACCCGATTTCAAAATTGGTCGGGTTCGGGTTCACGGATTCAACACGTTTGAAAAACAGGTCGGGTTCGGGTTGACTAGACGGGTTTCCGGGTCAACCCACCAACCCGTTTAACATGTGTTGCCCGCATCTTCCGAGGCTACCCGCACTCCTGCCCCGGCTGCCCTTGCCCTTCCCACGCGACAATGCCAGTAGTGCGTGGCCGCCCGCTCGCCGGCGTGCCCGCCGAGGTCACCCGCGTGCCTGCCGAGGCCGCTCGCATGCACTCGTGCCTGCTCGCGCGCTCGTCGAGACTGCCTGTGAACGCTTTCGCCTGGCCAGCTGCCAGCGTCCTGTGCGCGCACCTCATCCACCCGCACGCACCAGAGTCCAGCCCGCACGCTCCCACGTCCGCTTCCTGTGTCGGGTCGGGTCGAAACACCCGTCTGGTCGGGTCAACCCGGCAACCCCCCGGTCGGGTCCGGGTTTGGATTTCCGACCTGTTTACCTACCCGAGTCGGGTTAGGGTCGACCCGTTTGCACCCGGGTCAGTTCCTGATTCGACCCGAACCTGACTCGTGACCGATTTTGACACCCCAGTGTGGAGGTCCTTTCCTCTGCTTGGGGTGCAGATGCTTTGCATATGAAAAATTATTTTCTGGACAACGCCCTCGACGTTCTGAATAGTTTTTAATCTTTCTTCTGACACAATGCTTGTGAAAATTTAGTCAGAGGAAATCTTAATATAATATCTGCATTTTCCTCTACAAAACAAGTTCTTGAATAGAATATCTGAACAACCACAGTAAGGCTCGATTTGTTTTGAAGGAATTCGTTAAATTTAAAAGTTTATGTGAAATCTTATTAAATTATGTTGAGAATATTGAGTAAAATGATTAAAAAAAAAAGAAAGAGAAAAAAGAGAATTGGGAAACATTGAGATATTTATGTAATGAGTTTCAATATGGTAAATTGCATAAATTGAGCTCACCTGGCTCAAATATTTATAGAATTGGCTACATATATGGCTACATAAAAAAAAAAAGAGATGTAAAAAAAGTTGTGCACCTAATTAGAATGTTCTACTTGAAGAAGTTTGTACCTAGCTATGAATAAATCAATAGTTTTCGATATGGGAAGTCATCCACTTGAGCAATTGCTAAGACGACTTAATAGGTCGTATTCGACTGCTTTGAATGTTCATAGATCTAGTTCACTACTTATCGCAAGTTATTTATAAATTGACGAGCTCCTTTAATTCGAGATCGAATTGCCTTAGCATGAATCAAGTCAATTGACTTAAACCAGACCGCTTGACTTGAATTTTAAATAATTCATTACAATAATAAAGAAAGAGAGGAAATTAGAACATATTAAA